GAAAGAGGAAAACATCTCTGACGAGGGCAGGGCTTTCCCGTGTTCGCTGAGTCAAATTCACCCGCACCGGCTTCTTCAAGCCAACCTGGGAGAGGTTAAAGAGAAGAGGGCGGAGCAGGGACTCTCAGGGAGACAGAGAAACATCCCTTCTCGGTTCCCTGGAAGGGCTTCTACCTAGGTCCTTGCCCCGGGTTTCTCTGCAGGAATCCCGCGTAGCTCGCGGCGCTGCGGGAAAGGTCCAGACCTCACAAAGGGCAGGGCAGGAGAGTCCATGTCACAAGGAGTAGTCAGGCCGCCTACGTGAATGCTAAACGCGGGACAAAGGCGGCTCTGGGACAAAGTGCAGGGAGACTCCTGAGGAGATAAGAGGGACGGCGAAAGAAGGGGGCGGGGAGCGAGCGCCCTGGAGGCCTTGGCTGGCAGCCGAGCTCAGACCTCCGTGGAGGGGGCGCCATGGAGCATCTTCACCCCAGCCGCTGCTGGGATGCCGAGAACGGCTGCTGGGGCAGCTGAGCTGTTCCGGGCGACGCTCTGCGCCCACTTGTGGCCTTCCCCAGCGCCCTTCCCACCGCTGCCAGCGCGGGACGGGAGGCGGGGCTGCCCAGTTCACCTGGCTGTTTGGGGCGGGGCCGCCCGCAACCGGGGGAGCGGAGGTGGCAGCGGTACCCGGGGTGCCAGAGAGCGTCTTGCCCTGGCACTTGGATGGAGCTCCCACCACGTCCCCCACGCCCGCGTCGCGGCCCTCCCCCGGCTCGCTCGCTCACTCCCTCCCTCCACTTCCCTCATAAGCTCCCTCCCTCCCTCCCTCTGAGCCCAATTGCTCAAGACGCTTCCTTCCCCAACGCCAGCGCCAGTTCCTCTCCCGTTGGGGCTCGCTAGACACGGGGACCGCGACGGCGGAGCTGCAGGACCATGGCCGAGTCCCGCGGAGCCGCGACCCAGGCGCCCAGGGCCTCCCTGGCACCCAGCGCGCAGAGCCTGCGCTGCGCCCCGCAGCCCCGCCCCTCGAGAGTGGACGCCGGCAGCCTCGGCAGGTACCCGGGCAGCGCCGCCGCCTCCCGAGAGCCCCCCTTCCACGGCTCGCTGATGCTCTCGGGAACCGGCGCGGTGCGCCGACGGGGAGCGCTGAGGGAGCTGCTGGGGCTGCAGGGAGCAGCTTCCGCTGGGCGGCTGTCTGAGGAGCGCGCCGAGGAGCAGCCCGCGGGCGGATCGAATGTTACAGGCGGCAGCAGGCTGTGCCTGGAGCCTCGAGAGCACGCGTGGATACTGGCGGCCGCCGAGGGCCGCTTTGAGGCGCTGCGGGAGCTGCTGGAAGCCGAGCCTGGGTTGCTGCTGCGAGGCGACCCGATCACCGGCTACTCTCTACTGCATTGGCTGGCCAAGCACGGGCGCCACGAGGAGCTCATCCTGGTGCACGACTTCGCCCAGCGCCGGGGATTGCAGCTCGAAGTGAGCGCCCCGGGGAGCGGCGGCCTCACGCCCCTTCACCTGGCGGCCCTGCAGGGCCACGACCTGGTCATCAAGGTGCTAGTGGGCGCCTTGGGGGCTGACCCCACACGCCGCGACCACAGCGGCCACCGGGCCTGCTACTACCTGCGGCCCGACGCGCCCCAGAGCCTTCGGGAGCTGTCGGGGGCCGAGGAGTGGGAGACCGCGGGCGGCGGCGAACGGAACAACGCCAATAACAACAGCAGCGGAGCTGCGGCGTGGACGCTTCGAAAGACTCCACACGCAGTGGGCGCGACGGCAGTGGAGACAACGGCGAGAGCTACGGCGTCGCCCGGCAAGGAGAAGGACAGCCGGGTAGCGCGAATTCAAAATTTTTTTCGCCAAATGTTCCTCTTTTTCAAGGACCGTTGAGGGTGACATAGACTGGAGAGCGAGGAGGGACTGCAACCCTGCGGCGAGGTCTCAGTGGTGGGTTGTTCCTGGTCCCACCAAAGGGGCGGTGCCTCGAACGGGACCCAGTGTGCTGGGCCTACACAGACCATCTCTGGGTCTGTCTCAGGTCCCTGACACAGGTCTCCTGCAGCCACCGGCCCGGAGGCCTGGGGACCAGGGCGCCCCTAACCGATAGAGAGCAAAGGCCAAGCTGTTCTGGCTCTGAATCCCAGAAGGAGGTTGGAGCTGGAGCTGTGGTCCCGCTTAAAAGAGGGATAGTTAAGCTTACAATAGTAATTTCTGAGCAGGCAGAAGCTCTGAGTTTATTAGGAGAACATTTGCTAGAAGAATAAGTTAAGACTGTAAACCACTGGTGCAGAGGAAGAGCCTAACTGCAGGCTTGACTTGCCTATTAACGGGTCACTTTGTGCCACCAGAGTCAGACCCTGGCACCCTGTTCCTGAGACAAACAGGCCTTACTGGTATATTTTCTAATGTAACACGGATGACTTCTTAAGCATATTAAAGTGGAATTCTCTTTTCCTTTCACATGACAAAGCTGTCCTTTGCGTCACTTTTTTTTTTCATTAACCACCGCGGGGGAAGATTTCTACCTTCACAGGGGCTACCAGCTGCTGATCCAGGACAGGCTCTGGACCTCATACTCAGAGCAAATGACCAAGCTGTGTACTGAAGGTTTACTTTCACCTTGGCTCTCAGTAGAGACCCACAGTTTACCTGTCTACTGGGCTCTTGAGCATTTAGGTCTGGCCTCTGGCACAAATCTCCTCCTAGAGGAGTTGTCTACGGGAGGCAGAGGGATGGCCAAAAGGAAAAGCCTCCAAATGTATGTTTCTGATATTTTGTGGTGAGTCATGTCATTTACCTGGACTTCTGCCCTCCAGTGAGACACACCCACTGGCACTTTTTTCCAAGATAGGGCTTTAATCATCAGCATTGTTTTTTAAAAGTTACATTTAATATATAAGTTGTAGTTTGCAAAACCGTTCCCATTTAGAAGCATTATGAATTGAGTAGAATACAGGGGGATTGACTCAAACTGAAAGGAGGGAAAAGCAGTTAGAGGCTAGATCTCCATGCTACCTTAGAGAACAGTATATTTTAAAAATAGTGCTGTATCCCTGGAGGCTTGAGTAGCCCTTGCAGTGGACTGTTTGTTGGGTCCCCAGCCCGCCCATCCCAATCCTTGAACACCAAGGAGAAACTGAGTCATCACAGAACAACAGAAACATCACCCTGAGCCCATCCATCCAGATTTCTGTCTCTGGTTGGCTGGCCTGTTTGCCCTCTTTTATTATCCCCTCTGCACCCCTAAATGATCCCACCTTCCCTTAACCCATTCGATTCTTCTCACCCATGGAATGATCCAAATTCTTCCTATTGATGTTTTCAGCCTGTCCCATGTCTCTAGGAACTACACCTTAAACATATTTACACAGTGTAATGTAGCATTTCCTTTTTCTTGTAAATGAACTTCTTTGATGTTTGAAGTGGGGAGAGTGAGCAGTTCCTGGCTTCTGGCATTTGGCATTGGCAGCTGGCATAACCCCCTGCAACCTTTTGTGCCCATTTTATAGATGCAGATTGGCTAACTAATGCAGGATGTGTAGTTTCTACTACACAGCCTCCCCCTTGACAGCTACCTGGCAGGTGGGGCTTGGTGAAGGCTGTCAGGGCAGGACCTTCCTGGCACATGGCTAAGTCTGCAGGCTTCTGGTTTGGAGGGAAGATTGGCATGTGCCTTTGCCCAACATTCAAAGGACACATATAACAATAGTCTTCTCTTCATAGGCAAAGTTTTAATTTTAATCTAAGCATCTTAACTATTAGATTTGGAGACCTGAGACCAGCATCCACCTTTCTCTTTCCACGTTGAAACCAAGTCAGCTGGAGGATTCGAAAGTGGCTTTCTACAGTTTTTCCTTCAGTCAGCTATTCTTCCCCACAGATTTTTCTCATCATGTGATATTGCCTAGCCTACCTCCTCCATGTAAAATTGAGGTTTGGCTGCAGGAGACAAACTCCCATGCTGAAAACTCTCCATGCCATTGGCATTTCTGGTATGCTTTTCAAGGCAAAACTGGTATGCTTACATCAAGAGAAAGAACGAATTCCCTGAGAAACTGCTTTCCAGGGGAACAAAACAGAGTTAAGCAAATAATACAAATCTGCATTCTAGCAGGGCATGCGGACAAGAAAAGGAGACAGGAGCAGGTCTGTGACAGGTAAACATGGAGGGAGGGGGTGCTGCGCAGAGTGCAGGGCCTGACCCAGTCTGAAAGGTACAGGAAAGGCTTTCAGGAAGGAAGGTAATTCCTGATCTGAGGCATGGGGTGAGTGAGACATGGTCAGTGGAGAAGGGGGAGGGGCATCCTGGCAGAGCCACTGGAGTATGCCTGGGTGAGTACAGCAAACATCGGGAAATGTAAGTCAGCTGGTTTGGTGGGAAGGTGGGCGCTAGGGAGTAATTAATGGTAAAGTTGGAGAAGTGGGTGGGAGTCCAGATCAATAAGGGTCTCATAGGTCAGTCTTAAAGAGGAACATTGATTTTCACCTAAAGGTAGCTGGGAGTCATAGAAAGTTTCCAAGCAGAGGAAATAACACGATGAGATTTTAGAAAGACCACTCTGCCAGTCATGTGGAGGGTGGATGTGTCAGGGGAGACAACTGGGGAAAAACACATCACACGAGCAAAGTGCTTCTGGAGAAATGCTTCAAGAAAAGTCATACTTCAGCTGAGAAGTTCAAAGATCCCAATGGAGGGCAGTGGCTTTCAAACATTTTTTCTTCTCCATAGCATTTGCTCTAATGAAGCTTACCTCATTACCATGTGTTTACCATGTGTAAAACTAACAGATATGGAATTGTTCAGGTTAAAGCTGGGTTATGACCTCCCTTCCCCCTGCCTCTGTCTTAGACAAACAGTTGCACAGGATGAGCCCTGAAGCAAAATTCAAAACGACCGCTATAATGGAAAACTCTCAAACTGACCTGGGCTCAAATCCTGACCTTAAGCAAATCACTCAGTTCTGAGTTGCAGTTTCCTCATAAGCAAAATGGAAACAATACAGTGTTTTCCTGAGGATTGGAGATAATATATGTGCAACATCTAGCACACTGCGGGACACACAGGAAATAGGAAGTGACAGCTGTTTGGAAAAATTGAAGGGTGCTCAGCAGGCTCTTGTGGTGAAATTATTTTATCTGCTGTCCTAGTCCAGGAGGAGGAATCTTGTGATTACCTATATTACCCCATCTCTAAAATTGTGTCCACATTGATTGCAAGTTATTTTATCTCTGTGCCAGATGAGTGACCATTCCTCAAAGGGGACGGTTCCTCTGCTGATGTTCTTCACAACCTACATTCTTTTACTTTAGACATAATTGTAACAAGCTGCGTTACCTTGTTCTCAGCCCAAAGAAGAAGTAAAAGTGGCAACTTAATAAGTAAGTGCCTATCAAATATTAAATAGGTTAGATAACATTTTCAGATAAAATCATAAACTGGAGTCAGAGTTAAACCTGAAATCCTTTGAAGAGAATAAAAGCATACAAGTCCTTTATCTCCTGACCCTATTGTCTATGGAAATGCCTTCCTCCCATCCATGAGAACTTACCATACAATCCACAGCCAGCCTCCTTGTCTTCTCTCTTTCCATTCATTTTAACTAAGGAGCATGCCTGTCTTTTTTTCAAACTGTAACTCATGCTTTCAACCCCATCTCCTCCCAGGGCTTTATTCCATCAATTGTCCCTCTCCTGTGTCTTCAAGCTCACCCGCAGTTTAGTTCAACGCAGTAACATTTATTGAGTGCCTACTAAGAGCCAGGCTCTTTGGGTGACAAACAGGCTCAAGTTTCTCTCAGCCTTCTAGCCCAATCTTGTGACTCTCTTCTCTTCATTGCCAAGCTTCTCGGAGAGATCTCCGCCCCTCTTTCCTCAGCTTCCACTTCCTCACTTCTTCATCACTAGTCCTCAACTCTCTGCATTCTGGTTTCTGCCTCCATCATCCCAGAGTAACTGCTTCCTCAAAGGCCTCCCATGATAACCTCCCATCTGCCAAACACAAGTCCTTATCTTAATTCACTTCTTGACCTCGCTGGCCAATGTTGGCTTCTTCTTCCTCCTTGAAATTCTCTTCTCTAGTCTTCCATGAACTCCTACAGCATTAACTGCTGGTGTTTACCAGGCCGAAGTCCCAGAAACTTTTCTCTTCACTCTACATTCTCTCCCTGAGTCATTTCATCGCTTCCCTACTCACCCTTCCACACTCTGCTCCAGCCACACAGTCCTCCTTGCTGTTCCTTGAAAGAGCCATGTTATTCTTAACTCTGGGATTCCTACATGCTGTTCCCTCTTCAGAAACACTCTTCCCTCTATTCCTTGTCCCCCTTCACCAGGCCTACTCCCATTCATCCTTCAGATGTCAGTTTAAATATCACCTCCTTGGGGGAAGCCTTCCTTGCCCCTCAGGCTAGGTTAGCAGATCACCTGTTCTGCTCCTTTTCATAGTCCTTATCACACTTGAGATATTATTCAAGTGGTTATTAGATTAATATCTCCCCTGGTTCCACTTGACTTAAATTCCATGAGGGTGGGAACCAAGTCTGTCTTATTCACCACAGTATTCCTAGTTCCTGGTAGATGAAAGGTGCTCAATAAATAGGTATTGGTTGGCAATGGAATCATATATTTGACCTCAATACATAAGTAACAAAAAATATGTCAGCTTGGCTAGACTACAGTCTCACCTGTGGATAGCCCATGCCTGTGAGGACCTGTCTGCCCTTCTTGAAGGCCTGCCCTATGAATTCTCAATTTCCCTCATCTGTACGCAACATCACAGAAGCCAATTCCTTGCAATAAATCTTTTAATATATATATCCTATTGGTCCTGCCTCTCTGGTTGAACCCTAACACATACAAGAAACAACCATGTTACTACAAGATAATAAGTTTGTGATCAGACTAAAGTTTATTCAGATGGAACACACCTAGCACCCAGATCTTGGTTCCTAATATCATTCTCCAATAAAAAGAACCATGGTTTTCCTTGGTTCGTTGGAGAAATGGCTGATTCTAGGGCTGGAGAAGTAGTAAATTATAACAGAAAGTGTAAAATAAATATCCATAAGTCCATTTTGATAAAAAATGATAGGATAAACAAACAAATAAACAGGGAAGAAGAGACAAATTTTTCATGCAGAAAAATTCCAAATAATTTATGGAGATACTCCTCCATTAAAGAGGGGGAGTGTAACTCCCCACTCTTTAAGGAAGAGCTACATATTGTAATTTCCTTCCAAAGAGTACAGTTGGGAAGAGAGAAGAATGAGTAATGTTACAGTGGAAAAACCTGACCAATACTACATCAGCCATTTGATCAAGGTCAATATCAGAGCTGATAAGTCATATTGATAGTATGTACCCTTGATATGATCTGATAAGAATGGCATTTTACCTCTGTAACCTTCCTCCCCAAAACTTATAACCTCAGTTTAATCACAAGAGAAAACA